TGGGTACAATATATGGAGCCCATTTCTGGTGTCCCCCGCCGTGATATTACTGGAATATTGCTAAAAGCGGCGTAAAACCAGATTCAGTCGGTCAGTCAGTCAGTCAGTTGCTGCATCGGAAAATTAACAGAAACAGAAAACAACCCACATCAACAGATTCAAGTCACCAATCCACAGAGACCGGGGCTGTTTCTTCACATCAACCTAACAACACCAACTAATTTAGAATGAAATAGTATCAATGCAGTGCCAACAAACTGCCATGATAACCGCCTTAATTCTACAGTCCGTAGGCTTCCTCCCCTACGGGGTGAGTCAGGTTCTTTGTTAGTCTCTGGGTATGTTCTTAGCTGTTGTATGTTGCTTAACAGCAGTGTTCCAGCTACGTGAAGATGGCCTTAAATGCAGTCAAGCACAGTTGTGGCCCACGTAAATACTTCGAGCAATCCGATGTTTGACACAACCGCACATAAGCACTTAACAAGGAGCCCGCAGGGAACAAGCTTTTATCCCGAGACAACCGTAATTTGGACACATAGGTGTTCTGACTGTTATACAGTCTGAACAGGATGATCCATTATATTGTGAGCAACAGCTCTCTGTCAGGGGGGCACATGGCAGGCAATTAACCAATGACCAAGACAGAATATCCGACCAATTAAGTCGCCCCCTAGGGCAGCACGTGTTGCGGGAGAGAAATCCTGTTCCCATAAGAATATAACCATATACGAATGAAGACAGAATAGTCCCCTCTCGGGAATGGGACAGTTAATGCCAAAAGGCCATTCTGAAACCGTTGTAACTCGCAGCTGAAGAAGTCACGTTTAAAACCACTTCAAGAACTGCAGACTTGTTTCGGACCAAGATTTCCTAATTGAAAGGGCAGTTGGTGTCAGAAAAATCTTTCATCACAACTTATATGAGCAGTGTCATTCAAAGTATCCGCATCTCAGAAGCAGCAGGGCAGAAGTACTCAATGGTCTGAGATGATGACTAAGCACAACTGACACAACTAAACCACCTACACGATGACTCTGGGTTCCAGTCATATCTCTCTTAACAGTACGCGTCAGATCGACACTACTCAGATGCAGCCCAAGTCAATTGTGAAGTACGGCAAGGATCGGTACTGGGTCCAGTCGTGTCTACCTTATGCATCAAAGATAATCACCAAGAAGCAGAAACTCCACCAACACCAATATGCTGGTGATACACATCTTGCTACTCTTTGATATCAAGGGGCGGACTGGTGGTTTATGCGTTCCCTCGTCACGCCGGAGGCCTGGGTTCAATTCCCTTGGGCACAATATGTAAAGCCAATTTCTGGTATACCCCGCCCTTATATTGCTGGAATATTGCTAAATACGGCGTAACAAACCCAAATCTATCACTCAATTAAACCCCAGTCATTCAAGACAACAGCTCCAGCAGAATGTATGACAATAAACCTAATCTTCCTGAAAAGCTATAACCAGGTTTCAGTGAATTTAGAATTCCGCAGATGGATCTGAAAGATTCCTAGATCTGAACGCATCACTCAGGTTCTGAAAATCTTGCTCTGGCTAGCCTCGCCTTTTCTCCAAGGTCTGTCTTATTACCCATACCTGCCTAAACAATGATGACTAACCTTCATACCTTAAGGACTTAAGATCTCCCCCATAATTCTCCAGATTGTGGATTCTCCAGCAGGATGGACAATGTCCTTTCTGGAGCTTATTCAAGTTATCGTCAGCTTTGAGCGGATTCAGAACACTACAGCAAGGGTACGTCAGTCAAGACTAGGATCATGCAACTCCAGTTCTTTTCAACACGATCACAATCAGCAGCTTGTTTTTGCAATGCACAATGTTTGTATAATAGATACAATATTGCACGAGAAATAGACAAATGCATGTATCATGATAATTTTTAAAATGTTGTGCTCATGGTGGGTGGTGTTTAACTTTTGAAGAGGTTTTCATAAACAATTGACGTGAACCAACCAAATGCCGATACAATTTCACATGGCCATTTCTTTATTTTTGTGATATGAGGCATTGTTATTCATTCTTTCTGCTAGATTCAGTAGAGGGCAGTGACGTACTAGATACTACATTTAGAGTGTGGGTCCAGACTGGCCTTTCCTACATGTAAATGGACAAGCCTGGTCATCCCACATAGCATTTTACATTACAAAAAGACCAGTAGTTGTGTGAAGATCACTTTTCACCCTGGACACTCAGCCTACGCCTATTTTGGAGGCTTGACCACAGTTGCAGCGAGGTAAATATTATCAACACTGTCTATATTACAGTAATCCCTGTTTATATGTTTATTGTCTTTGAATTTATACTGTTGATCTATGCTGTACTGTCATTGTAATTCCGTTGTAGATTTGTTCATTTGTTCACATTTAAACTCAGCTCATATTAGAATACAATTGTTTATGTATTTCATTTCTTTGTTGGTTTGACACCGAATTCTATGTACACGGGTTAACTTCTTGTTTCAACTTGATAATCGAAACGTAACAGTTGAAAGTTATACATATTTGTTTTAGGCAGTCGTACCTTAGCAACGTTTGAACCACCTTCAATAGGTAAAAAACGCCCCCGTGGTGTAGTGGTTAGAGCGTCCGCCCGGAGAGCAGAAGGTTCGATCCCCGATCGCGTCATACCAAAAGACGTTAAAATATGGTACTTGTTGGTCCCTGCCTGGCGCTCGGCATTAATGGGTACAACAAGGACTGGTCGGCTCGGAGTCTGTATAATGTGTCTGAGTGGGGTATTCATGCTTCACTGCGGCATGGTATCTCAGTGAGCTAGCACTATAAAACCAGCTTCAGTCTGGGCTAGTACAAGCAGCTGCACATACACATACACACGCATGCACGTGGTCATATGAGCGAAATATTCTCAAGCACGACGTTAAACCCAATTTCACCTCACCTCAATAGGTAAAATGCCTAAACTTACACTTCTATTTCTTTGTACAACTGAAGTAATTATTGCCATTTGTTATAGAAGAACAGTCCTTTCAATAAAACACACAAACTATATATTTTGTTAATAACGAATCGCAATATACACAATCATATTGGTTTACAAAGCATTACATCTTACCATGAATGCTCAAATTGGGAGAGGATATTGTTGATCTGAATTACAAAACAAACATAGGAATTATTGAGCAAGCATTTCACATCACCGAGGCAAGATCTCATCCACAGAACGATGGAACTGCACGTTCAGTAAAGACATTCTCAGTGTGTGAGTGAGTGAGTGAGTAAGGTTTTACGCCGCTTTTAGTAATATTCCAGCAATATCACGGCAGGGGACGCCAGAAATGGGCTTCACATGATTAGATTCAGCACACAACAAACGCGTTGTAAATAACAGTAAACGTATCTGGACAAAAAACATTCCATTGTTTCGTTCCCTCTAAAGATGAACACTGTAGCTACCTGTCCAATTAGAATTCATAAACCATACAGGTAATTTGACTTTTTTGTCTTTATATGCTGTTGTTATTCTCATGGTAACCAAAACGAAAGGTGCGTGTCTGTGTGTGTGTGTGTGTGTGTGTGTGTGTGTGTTTGTGTGTGTGCGTGTGTGTGAGGGATTTGCTTATGATATTACTATAAGACGCACGTGTCCACTTCAAAACATGGCGTATACGGACACTCTTGTGCTTCACATATTTCCCACATAAACGCAAATTTCCCTTAATGGACTTCAGTTAGCAAACAATACACAATCGCAACAGTCACCTTTCACACCGTTATCAAACTCATGTTTGGTTTTATGGTTAAAATCAGCACGTATGTTTCCATGAATACTACATGTTGAAGGAAATTGCAGGAAACACCATCATTAACAAGGCTAGATTGGTGTACGGACGTCATCGCGTGATCTCTGTTACATATTTTAGTGCACTGAATTTGTGAAGAGGTTCTAGAACAGAAAATGACAGGGGAAAAACGATTTATATGTTACATAGAAATGTTTATTTATTCATGATTCAATTATTTTAGATTTTATCGATCCAAAGATCGATCTGAACTTGTCATTTGCTTTCTATTCCAAGGATGCCACATCTCGTAGTGATGAAAAGCGAGACATGTAAGCTCTGTAGAGTTATTTTTATTTCGATACGATTGTGGTGACAAAGTATATAAATTGAGTTTTAGAAACCTTTAGCCTTGCCTGCGGATATGCTATTTTGACTCTGGCACTGTCATTATTTAGTACACATTTTCTACGTTTTATGGTTCATTAAAATAGTACTTGGAACCTACTTGTAAAAACAGAAAGGCACATATAATGGCAATGGTGGCTCTGTTTTATATACAGGGTTTCGCCTGCTCGCTATGGCAACTACAGATGGATCTACTGTCGAAAGGAATGATTTCTTTTGTGTTCGAAGTAGTAAAGAAAACCGAATCGTTTTAAAGATCAACCTATTGGGAAAAGAACCACACACACAGAGGCATCGTATCAGCGAAAAAGATTGATTCGAATGAGCTTAGGGTAATAAAATGTGTTCAATTGTACAGTTATCCCATATCGAACAAAAATCACACCCAAAGGCTCTGTAAGCATATACGTTTATTGATAGTGAAAAATTATAATAGTTAAAGTGCTATTGATTGTGTGGCATTCAAATCACAATAGACCAGTCGCATTACTAAGTACTCAACGAAACACTTGTTTCTACATAACAAGACATCACACCTCAAGCAATAGTTTCCTTAAAGTAGTCATATCTTACAAACACAATAATGTATCGGCGTATTGTAAATGTTAATTCAAAACACATGCGTGTTCGCCATCATCCCCGTTAAACTGAATTACACCTTCAACAGGTAAACACCAGGAGTTTGTTTTGATTTAAATGCTTCTGAAATACAACAATATGCCAAACAAGAACATTATCTGCCAGAGAAAAACATAAAATGACAAACAAGAACACCATTTGCTAAACATGAATCTGGTCTGCCAAACTAGAACATTATCTGCCATAGAAAAACACAATATGCCAAAGATACATCATCTGCCAAACAAGAACGCAATATGTTCAACAAGAACATAATAATGACAAACACGAGCACGATTTGCCAAAGATAAACATCATCTGCCAAACAAGAACACAATATGTCCAACAAGAACATAATAATGACAAACACGAGCACGATTTGCCAAAGATAAACATCATCTGCCAAACAAGAACACAATATCTCCAACAAGAACATAATAATGACAAACAGCAACACAGTTTGCCAAACAAGAACACAATACATCAAACACGAACATGATCATAGTGTCTTTTGCATTCAACAAAACGTTTTTCTCATTGCGTCAGCAAAAAACATCACAAATAATAGTCATTTTTCAAAAGTTTCATGACAGACCTGTGGAGGATATCCTTAGTCTGCAGTTCAGACATACACCGACACAGAAGAATATGTTCAAAAGTTAACACGGTTGCCATTTGCTGTTCAGTATGGTGAAACATGTATGCCTGAAATATGGATTCATTCGTGATGCAATTATGTCAAATGGGAGTGGTATATGCACATACCTTACCCTACTGATATATGGTTTTGTTACATTAGTTGAAATTAAAACCTGGTAAGCTGGAGGATTGCAGAATAAGCTAGCATAGATCCCTTTCCATTTGTGTCCGTTCTGGACACTTTTGAGTGAGTGATGTTTCAGCAGTGTTCCCGTAATATCACGGCTGGGGGCACCAGAAATGGGCTCTACGCATTGCAACCATGAGGAGAATCGAACCCGGGTCTACAGCGTGACAAGTAAACGCTTTAACCACTAGGCTACCTAACTGTCACAGACACTTTTGAAGCTGTGTTACACACTGAACTCTAATTATGTTCCGTATTGGTTAATCATTTCAGTCACCTGTGTTCAGGCAGCTGACTTCACGGGGTGCCGCTGTTCTTTATTTTAACAAACGTGTTCTGTAAATCCTTCTTAACTGCTGGGACGTCCATTAAAATGACGAGTATAAATGGTATCAATATTAGACTCAAGGCGGAATACCCTATGCTTTGGGACGATGGTCTAGAGTCTGGAGCACTTATCCGTTTACGAACGGTTTTCGACAGATTTTTCGTTTCAACTGTAAGTTCTTCAACAATGGATGCTAGAAGAACCGATAGTTCTTCTTCACCAAGTTCCGTCAGGTTATATGTACGACATATTGTGGTCTGTTCTAACACAGGACCAGGGTCCACAGATTGAAGATCTGATGACAAAATCGACGAAGCCGATTCAGGGGAGATAACACTTGTGGATGCTGACGTCATCAAAGCTGATGCGCAGGAGCAAGACGTTTGTTCTTGAAGAACCGTCGTTGGTTCAGGGCAAGAAGACGTAACGGTCAGCTGGACTGGACTCACGCTCGGACAGGCGACCACTGACGTCACAAGCACCGTCGACGTCAATTCTGTGATGAGAGTCTCAGTGCTGACCATACAAGGACTCACTGATGATGGAGTTGATGGAGGAAGAAGGCAAGTGCTCAGGATTTCAGTAGCTGTTTGGGTTTGTGTCACTGTAGCCTGTATTGATGTTACGTCCGTCACTGTGACGTAACTTACTGGTTGAGAGACTGTGATGACGTTAGGAGAACATTCAAGCGTTTTCGTGCTGGTGTAGACATAACTCGCCGCGCTCGATGGACACAAATTTCCTAAGGCGACGCTGGTCTCAGAAGAAACGTTCTCGGAACCTGAAACTTTTAGAACAGAAGTTAATGGGCAGGTTTAGAGACAAACAGATGGATAGGGGCATTGCCAGGTTAGTTTTGGTTTGATGGTTGTTAAACACCGCACTCAGCAATATTCCAGCTATAAGGCATCGATCTGTAAACAGTCTATCCAGACTATCCAGTGATAAACAACACGAGCATCGATCTACGCAGTTGGGATATGATGACATGTGACAACCATGCCAGGGCCTGACCACCCGATCCCGTTAGTCGTCTCTCACGACAAACATGGGATGCTGAAGACCAGTTTTAACCTTAAAGTAGAAGCGAATGAAAGAACACAAAATGCACATATTGGACGGCTGAATTCAAAATAAGATTTCCCTTAATCGTCATACTGGACCTTTCTTTCAGCATTAACTTAAAATATCAATTTAAAGTAATACAACTTGAACGTTCTTACAGAAGATTTGTCTTCAATATACAGCAATTCCTCATATTCCTAAATGCCCTATCAGTTTACTGCTATCTCCATGAACCAATTTAACATGTGTTCTGACAAACGCGGAAAGGTACTTCAAAATCTATCTTCACATTGTTGTATTACTGGAAACACTGTGACATCAACCAAGTCAACTGTTAATGTTTAGACAACATAGGGTTTACCGTGAACTTCCATCCGTCCATGCACCCAGACCCGCCTACCCACCCTATTCACCCATCAACACACCAAGTCACCTATCCATCCATCCACCCATCCATTCACCCATCCAACCATACACACAGATCCACCCATGTTCCATTCATCCATCCGTCCGTCCATCAACCGCACCATCCACATCCAACCATCCACCCGTCCATCCATCCTTCCATCTAATGGCGAAAATACAGGAAATTTAAAACCTGATGGTGTCGTTTCAATGGTATTGAGAAATTTATAATTACCATTATTTGGCGTGCACCCCTTAGGAATTTTAGGGGTTGAATCGGTTGAATCGTCATATCCGTTTGTGTCGCTTTCATTTCGGGAAGCTGGAAGTAGACATTAGAAAACCTTTTATTGGAAGAACCGTGTTCATGTCTATTTATGGTGCGAACTATCACAATCATGTACATCTTGCTTTTCCTCCGGATAAGAATTTCACTTGGAATGCCATCATTGGTTCTTGGGCATTCAATTGTCCAGTTTCAGTTTGGCATTGTATCCCGCCTTTGGTTTAAGCTTGCTGGAACAGTGATGTGACTTCAAATATTCCCACCAATGTCTGCGTTACAACTTAGTTATCAGTGCAAAAAAAGCCGGTTAGGTAGCCAAATGGTAGAAGCGTTTGCTAGTACGTCGAATGCTCAAGTTCGAATCCTCACATTGAACATCCTCAACATGTGAACCATTTCGGTTGTCACCTGTTATATGGTAGTGCTATGCATTGTGGAACAATGTTTTAAATGTATTACATTGTTTCTGTTGACATTCAGTAAGTAGTTGTGTACTATATTTAGATATTTAGAGAGTTCTGGAAGGTACTACAAGTCTCTACAATCATATGGGCCTTTCCAGCATAGGTTTACCCAGCATATTTTGGAAAGTTCCAGAACTGTTACATTATATAGTATGACCAGAAATTATTGAGAATTTTAGGAATATGGATGATTTAGAGAAGAGGAAGTTGATTTTAGAGTATTATAACAAGGACATCAGATCAGCTTAAAGTGATTTCAAGTAGAACAGGCATCCCTTTGTCCACTGTTTAACGTGTTTTGAAAAATATTGCAAATGGATATGACATTGAGCACCAGGGAGGCGCAGGTAGGCCCAGAAAAATTGACTGTTGGTGACAGGAGGCGGCTTGGTATTCTTGTTTCTAAAAACAAACGAAGGAGTTTAGAAAACTTAGGCTGGATATGATTGATAGAGGAACTGTGGCTGTCTGTAAGGAGACAATTAGAACTGAGCTGCATGCAATGGGTTGGCAGAAAAGTCGAGGAATTCCGTCACCGATCATGAAACCTGAACAAAAGGAGCGAAGGTTGAACTGGTGCTTACAGCATAGAAATTTTAACTGGGACAATGTGATTTTCTCAGATGAAAGTTCTGTGTGGCTGTTTCCTAATACACTGAAATTCTGGACCAAACAAACTGAAAAACCTTTGTATCAGCGCCCAAAGTACAGTCAAAAATTTAACGTGTTGGGTGGCATATCTGTGTTAGGGGCAACGCCTCTCTGTGTATTTGAAGGGAATATGAACAGTGAGCGGTACACAGATAATCTCGAGGGACATTTGGGGCGGTGGGGTAGCCAAGTGGTTAAAGCGTTGGCTCGTCACGCCGAAGACCCGGGTTCGAATCCCCACATGGGTACAATGTGTGAAGCCCATTTCTGGTATCCCCCGCCGTGATGTTGCTGGAATATTGCTAAAAGCGGCGCAAAACCAAACCCCAGTCAGTCAGTCAGTCAGTCGAGGGACATTTACTTCCATCTGCTCACGTGTTCTATGGAAATTTTTGGATTTTCTAGCAGGACAACGACCCAAAACATCGTTCAAAGCATTCACAGGCCTGGTTTCGGACCCAAAATATGACATTATTAGATTGGCCAAGCTATAGCCCTGACCTAAATCCAATAGAAAATGATCGGGGACTTAAGAAGGGAAGTGTCAATAAGAAAAATCTGACAAATATTGCTGAAATGAAAGAAAAGGTGGTCCGATATTGGAACAGCATGGACCACGACTTTCTAACTTCTTTGATCAGAAGTATGCCCCGCCGCATTGAAGCTTGCATTGTTGCCCATGGTGACTTGACAAAATACTAACTGTTCACCTGTCTTTGAATCTGGAGTTACGTTCTGCTAATATTCATATTTAATACGTGAGTAATGAGTGAAAAAAATTAAAAGAAATTACAATCTTAAATTCTCAACAGTTTCTGGTGTATGTAAGGGGCGCGCTTTTGCCTCAGTCATCGCATATTAGATTCAAAATTACAAGAACACCAACTGTTGTTCTTTGATCACGTTTCAGCATAATTTGGAAACTTGACCACTGTTGGAGTGTTAATGGACTTCATTGATGTGTCTATTAACCAGAATTTTAAAGTTCAACGGAAAATCGCCAATTCTCTGAGTAAGAATAGAGGGCTGAGTGACTCTGAGATGTATGCATACAGTCTAAAAGACTCGAGATAACTCTTTCTGTCCTGTGAATCAAAATACAACTTTTCATAAAATAGTTTTCTTGTTCTTCCGTGATCTGTTTTTCACCTGTAAGTATTTCATCACTATGTTTTGGAAATCAAGAAATTCACTTTCTTTACCATTTCTTCCTGTCATATTTACAAAAAAGAATTTATTTGCCTAGAATTGTCATAATGCTATGCCAAAACATGGGGTTACTTATCGTTAATTTCAAGTATTTTGTGTTGTCATCATAATTCCAGTTGCTTTCATAATTCTCTTTGCATAATAAGGATCTTTTGAAATTCTACCATCCTCTGCCACTGGTTATACTGAGAGCATTTAAAAATTCCAAAGCAAAGACACAATGATCATACTTATAACCTGCAAATATGTCACAATCAAAAGTGAGATTTCGATATCAGAAATAAATAAAGAATCGCTTGTTGTCTTGGAAGTTTCCTCAGCCAAGTAAATGTTTTACTATCATAGTGCAATTCCCTTCAAATGTACAAATCCAATTTTCCATATTTTCCAAAAGATACATCTTGGGCAGAGGGATTGTTTACACTTTGATAATGCTGGAATATTGTTAGAAACGGCAGAAAACCAAACTCATTCACTAACTATCCTCTCCAAGGATGAGTGAATGAGTGAGTTTAGTTTTACGCCGCACTCAGCAATATTCCAGCTATGTGGCGGCGGTCTGTAAAAAATCGAGTCTGGACCAGACAAACCAGTGACCATCAGTATGAGAATCGATCTACGCAATTGGGAAACGATGACGTGTCAACCAAGTCAGCGAACCTGACCATCTGATCCCGTTAGTCGCCTCTTACGACAAGCATGGGTTACTGAAGGTTCGTTCTAACCCGGATCTTCACGGGTCCTCCAAGGACTTGAAGCTGTGTTGTGTCCTCATTTGTCTCCATCTTCCATTACAAATCCGGAATCTGATGCATCAGCTATTAATGATGTTCTTATTTTCCTATTAATGACTGTACCGCCTCCGTGGTGTAGTGGTTAGAGCTTCCACCCGGAGAGCGGAAGGTCGCGGGTTCGATCTCGGGCCGCGGCATACCCTAAAACGTTAAAATATGGTACTTGTTGGTACCTGTCTTGCGCTCGGCATTAGTGGGTACTTAAGGACTGGTCGGCTCGGAGTCAGTATAATGTGTCTGAGTGGGGTATTCATGCTTGACTGCGGCATGGTATCTCAGTGAGCTGGCACTATAAAACCAGTTTAAGTGTGGTCTAGAACAAGCAGCCACACATACACACGCATGCACTTCGTCATATGAGCGACATATTCTTAAGTACGACGTTAAACCCAATTTCACCTCACCTCGTCTATTAAAGACTCACCTGAAAAGCAGTTTTTCCTATACATCAGGTTCGAACCAACTCTCAGCATGACACAGAGGTTGGTTTGGTAGTTGCCTACCATGTAGCATCCGGGCACGGTTTTGCAGACATTCTGACAGGTTGCTGATGTGGCGTTGCTATGGGTTACTACAGCAGCACTCGTCCCCACACTGACGTAGGGACAGTCGCCTGGAAGGGAAAGCACAATCATTTCTCACACACTCATGTGAGATATAACTAGTATTCAACATAAAAGTAAGGTCAAATTTGTTTCTTTTCTCACCCAAAATGAGAATTTTAAGCAAAGAACCCCCAAAACAAAACAAACAAACAACAACAACCCCCCAACCCCCAAACAACAACAAAACCCCAAAACAACAAAAACCAAAACCAAAACCAAAACAAAACAATACAACATTCAACAAACAAACAACAGACAAAACAAACAATAACAAAAACAAAACAAAACAAAACAAAACAGCAAAAACCCATCGAAAACAAAAAACAACCAACAAAGCAAAAACCAACAAACAAAAAAACCCAAACAACAATACAACAAAGAAACAAGCCAGCATGTTAAATAAAAAAAGATTTGATAGTAAAAACACGTTCCAGCAGTACGTATTTTCAGAATAGCAATGGATACGTGGAGATTAATCTTCAGAAACCCATGTAGACAAAACTTTCGAATCACCCCCTAAGATTAAAAACATCCGTGCGAACGCAGCCCTTCTATAATGTGCAGCATAAGGCTTGTAGCATTGAACTCAGTGTTAATGAACATGTCAATTTGTTGTTTATGCTTTGATAGATAACAGCCACGCTGCCAGTGACTGTCTCTAAGAGTGCAAAATCATGGCACAATTGCTAAAATGTGTGAAGTCAAATAGAACATGTCAAATAAGGACATATTGTTGTAAACAGTGCCATTAAATATATATCAAACTTCCACATTTACAAATGAACATTCCTGCTTGACAACGGTACAAGAATCTGTATAGAAACTTGCCACTCACGAAATAAAAGAAGTTGTTATCCATAACGTTTGTCAATTCTGTACTTCCCAACTTCTAAAATGCCACTCACACAAGTCGTTTGATCACGCTCCACAGTTCAAACATCAAAATAGCATGCACGAAGATATTGTGAATTGTGAATTCCGATCGTTAGGTTGAGGACACGGCCTGGCGATTTCGTATTGAAACATGCATTATTCAATTTCAAATTTAAGTTTTTTTTATTGAACTTTGTATAACACATGGTTACTTTTCCTCATCGGCATATTTTAATACCATTCTGAAGAATACGACAGGAATCCACCTTCCATATCTGTACATTATGAAACGTGTCTCTATAAATATACTTTTAGAATCTGAGTCTCGTTACTTTGTTTATATCCATGTAAGGAGCGGTGGGGTAGCCAAGTGGTTAAAGCCTTGGCTCGTCACGCCGAGGATCCGGGTTCGATTCCCCACATGGGCACAATGTGTTAAGCCCATTTCTGGTGTCCCCCGCCGTGATATTGCTGGAATATTGCTAAAAGCGGCGTAAAACTAAACTCAGTCAGTCATACAAGGGGCGGTTGGATAGCACATAGGTTAAAACGTTCGCCCGTAACAAGGAAAACCAGGTACACTGGAACAATGGGTTACAAAGTGGTAAACCATTTCGGTTGTCCCCCTGCGGAATAGGTCTGAAAGCGGTTCATTACCAGACTGAGTTTAGTCTTAAGCCGGTTTTAGCAATATTCCAGCAATATCACGGTGGAGAACATCGGAAATGGACTTCACACATTGTACCCATGTGGGGAATCGAACCTAGTTCTTCGGCGTCACGAGCGACCACTAGACTACCCAACTTCTACCCATCTAATGTCATGATACATAAATATACAAGCACTGAAACGTGATCGAGTTCCAGGATGGTTATCTATTAACATGGTATTGACAGTCATCTATCTAAAGCTTTGGTTCATACATATACAACGTTCTTATGCAAATCATTTATATCGCCTGCCCACGCAAGATCTTACCTGATTTTCGCTCGCATATAAACGTCAACTTATTTTCACAATCGTGTGTCTCTAAAAGAAAGTCATCTTTTGAACTCTGTAGCATCTTTTGGCCGGGTCGTAAATGGCATTATTTGCATCCCTGAAGACCTCAGTGACACTGAATGTGGAGTTGAAGACGCTGCAATCTTTGTCATCAAAGACCAAAGTGACATCGTCATGCCAATGTAGGCTTGTCCATGCGTGATTCCAACTAAAACCAAGTTAAAATTAATGATTTTTAAAGTGAGTGAGTTGGGTTTCACGCCGCCTTTAGTTGGTTGCTTTTTGTTTATCAGTGTTACAGTGTTACAGTGTTACAGCGGTTGTATTCAGTGTACAAAATACGTCCAATATTCTGCCTTGAAGCTATGATCGTAAGTGATTCTTTTCTCCAAGTCCAGCGTTTGTTTGTTTGCACTCAGCAATATTCCAGCTATATGGTTATATTTCGGCGGTCTGAAAATAATAGAGCCTGGGCCAGACAATCCAGTGATCAACAGCATGAGCATAGATCTACGCAATTGGGATACGATGGCATGTGTTAACCAAACCTGACCACCCGCTCCCGTTAGTCGCCTCTTACGACAAGCATGGGCTACTGAAGACAAATTCTAACCCGAGTCTTTCGAAGAAGTGCTTTCATCCACATGGCATCAACAAGAAACATTTTTTTGATTGCAAACAATACTATTATGAAACAAAAACGTAAAAAATATTCTGATTTTTTAATACACTGTCCAAAGAATAGGTATAGGAAATGCGATATTTATCTACTCATTTTTGGGGTTCATAAATGATTAATGAAAAGTAAACTCTATTGTACCATCTGAACGTTTTGGTTACAGAGTACAAAGTGTGTCGAACAAGGTTACTGTCACGTTTAGTGTAACATGAATCCCGTGCAATATACAAAACTGGCGAAATTTGTGTTTAAAACAAGTAAAATAGTTACAAAGGAAACGTTTTTTAACCTAAAATAGCCTAAACGCTATGGTATGAATGAGGGAGTGATAGGGTTTAGTTTGACGCCGCTTTTAGCAATATTCTAGCAATGTCAACTGATAACATCATGTTTGTTACTGATGACATCATTTTGTTGCTGATGACATCACGTTTGTTACTGATGACATCACTAGCAATATTCTAGCAATGTCACTGATGACATCATGTTTGTCACTGATGACATCATTTTGTTGCTGATGACATCACGTTTGTCAGTGATGACATCACTAGCAATATTCTAGCAATGTCACTGATGACATCATGTTTGTCACTGATGGCATCATTTTGTTGCTGATGACATCACGTTTGTCACTGATGACATCATGTTTGTTACTGATGACATCACGTTTGTTACTGATGACATCATTTTGTTGCTGATGACATCGCGTTTGTTACTGATGACATCACTTTTGTTACTGATGACATCACTAGCAATATTCTAGTAATGTCACTGATGACATCATGTTTGTCACTGATGACATCAATTTTGTTGCTGATGACATCACGTTTGTCACTGATGACATCACGTTTGTTACTAATGACATCACGTTTGTCACTGATGGCATCACTAGCAATATTCCAGCAATATCATGGCGAGTGACTCCAGAAATGGGCTTCACACATTGTACCCATGCGGGAAATCGAACCCGGATCTTCGTAGTAACGAGCGAACGCTTTAACCACTAGGCTACCTCATCGCCCGGCGGGGCGGTGGGGTAGCCTAGTGGTTAAAGCGTTGGCTCGTCACGCCGAAGACCCGGGTTCGATTTCCCACATGGGCACAATGTGTTAAGCCCATTTCTGGTGTCCCCCGCCGTGATATTGCTGGAATATTGCTAAAAGCGGCGTAAAACTAAACTCAGTCAGTCAGTCATCGCCCCGCTGTATATGAGTATGGACTATTTCATAATTTAATGTCTCATATGATCTATTTTTAATATGGTCATAAAAGGAGTGAATGAGTGAGTGAGTTTAGTTTTACGCCGCACGCAGCAATATTCCAGCTATATGGCGGCGGTCTGTAAATAATCGAGTCTGGAACAGACAATCCAGTGATCAATAGCATGAGCATCGATTTGCGCAATTGGGAACCGATGACATGTGTCAACCAAGTCAGAGAACCTGACCACCCGATCCCGTTAGTCGCCTCTTACGACAAGCATTGTTTACTGAGGACCAATCCTAACCCGGACCTTCATGAGTCGATTATAAAACGAACCTGATATGCCAGATGTTAGCACTGGCTGCTTGTTCCTGGGCCATTTGAAATAACCTTGGTGTGTCCAATCGGGCAAGGTATCCCCCAATGTCGCTGCATACTTTTCGTGCTGTATTCCAAGACTGAGTTTCAGTGTAGAATATATATTCGGTCATTCCGTTCACAGTATTTGCTGGAACATATAAAAATATAATTGCAAATTACAAAAAAATACATAAAAAAACTCACCATCAGAAACTAAAATTCTCACGTCATGAATTTACAAATCATAGTTGTTGCTGCTCTTAATATCAGTCACTGGGTTGCTTGATGAGACATGAGCATTTACAAGCCGGAGTTCTATAGCTAAAACAACAAACACGTTTAAACAGGCAGAAAAACAAATAACAAAGACAAGCTGTAAGAAACCACAAAAGTTGAGTTAGTTCTGAAAAAATCACGTCTGTTAAAAACATTTTAAAAAAACAATATCAGATTCGACTATTGCGCCTTAATAACTAAAGGGTAGATATTGCCAGTTACAAACAAACTAGACTGTGGACATTGTTAGCCATCAGAGAAACAGATTAATCGTTATGGAGTGGTTCCAATCTGTTGGCACAGTTACCTTTATGGCGCTTGACTTATTGATAAGCGAACATAAGATAGAACAGGATAATAAACTAGCCAAGGCTAAAGATCGTTTCGGCTACAAGTCAATAACTTGCAGGGGTCCTCAGCACATCGATGGTTCTGGACAATACCTTTAAGAAAGGGTACAGCATGTACTACTACGGCTAAACAAACCTCGATCAATCTCGCCCGAGCCATGCTGGGTGGCGTTCGATCATTGGTCTCTTGACATCAAGAACATCACAGTCGACATGGTGTGATGAAGCCGGTATTGTTTGGAAAACCAATGACAATGCCATGAGGTTCAATGGTCGTTTGACATCAGCACTAAAATGATGAATTCCAACCTTGCAGGCTCTATCAATACATGGTGTTACTACCTTTGTCAGTGAAATTCATTTTTGTAAACCTCTGATGAAAAAAATATCGTAAATATAAATGAGAAAATGCTTTCTCCACCCTTAAGAAAACTCTTGATATTGTATGGCTTACACTGAATCATGAGTGTTTATGAATCACTGTCGAATATTGATGATTACAGGTATGCGCGAAGGTTTTCCAGCCCCTCCGGTGGCTACTTAAAACATACAGTAGCAAGTCAATTCTGTACCTAAAAACAGGAAATCATTTTTGTCATAGATTCGTCAAAGTTGGCAATGTCTTCCACATGTGTGTCATAAAATGTTTAAAGCTTTGCTGCGTCCAGGAATGTTGAAACCATTATCGAACAAATTTTCCATTTTATGCAAGGCTTGTGTTATCGATGTGATCCGACCAATAAACGTGGCTTCATGCAACTGAGGTCGCTCAGCAGGAACTGCTTTTAGGATCCATAAATCAATGCGATAAATCATTCTAAAAAAAAACTATTGACTAAGTTTACTAATATATCAGACAAAGGTTTCCCAGTGTGACGCCTAACCATGGCTACAAACATTCCTGAAACGCCATTTGCACTATATAATGTATAATATGTCGGGTGATGCACTCAAACATTGTATTCATGCGCGATTTCTGAAGCTGCTTCAGTGAGTAAAATTACATCTTAAAAATTCATTACCCTAATGATAATGCAGTTATTACCCCAGTGTGTTTCCACATCGTAATAATATAACGTCCACGACCTGTTTGGTGAGCTCCTAAAATCAAACTGACACGCCATGAGATAAGACTGATACTGTTTATCAAATATAAATCAGACTCCTTCACTTAGAAATCCACAACCATGATCGCTCATGGACGGAAAATTGTTGCTCGGTCGACGCTTACCAACTAGCCCATCTCTGGTTAAATGTCCTCAGCAATGGCGTCACTAGTATGACTCATTTTAAATCACTTGCCTGACATGTACTGTTCGTACCTATGCAAACCATTAGAGACCTGGAAATAAGTGTATATTTCACACGATTCGAAATGACGTATATGGAACGCTATAACTATGTGAGTGAGCCAGTGAGTTTAGTTTTACGCCGCACTCAGCAATATTCCAGCTATATGGTGGCGGTCTATAAAATAATCGAGTCTGAACCAGACGATCCAGTGATCAATAGCATGAGCATCGATCTGCGCAAATGGGTACCGATGACATGTGTCAACCAGGTCAGCGAGTCTGATCACCCGATCCCGCACGTCGCCTCTTACGACAAGCATGGGTTACTGAAGATCAATATTCTAAGACGGACCTTCACGGGTCTTATCACTATGTTGTGGAGTTAAAGGAAGACTTTGTTCCAGGCCACGTCAAGATTTCACCTTGTCATGTCACTGCGTTTTTTCCAGGTGTACAATTGACGTTCCTTTGCATGTATTTGAGACGTTTGGGCAGGATACATTAACCTTTCTCTTAAGGCCTTGCATGGGCACAATTTTGAGATATTTATAAACACATGTACAATGTCATTGGACTGATTATTAATGGGTTAAAACACGCCTCCACTCAAAAGTGCATCTAGTTTTGCAAACATTTTCGTCGATTATAACTGATACATGATCGGAAATTAAATTATTAACATGATTAGTACTCTTTTGTATACTTTCCACAAACTTGGTTTCCAAATTACAACTTTTAGTATTGTCATACATACTCTTTTGAAATACTCTTCATTCATAATTAATATAGTCCTTTCTATATCGACGTGTTCAGAAATGTTTTTCTTTATAATTACACTTTCGGAAGGTGCGGGTTTGACGTTTGTGTATTGTCTTAAATCGATACATTGGCAGTATACCGTTTTAATAGCCAATGGAAAACATTTTAAAATGGCATTTAGTTTTCATGAAATACATTTCACGGATGATGAAATTATAATAAAATTACATCTTAAAATTCATTACCCTAATGATAATGCAGTTATTACCCCAGTGTGTTTCCACATCGTAATAATATAACGTCCACGACCTGTTTGGTGAGCTCCTAAAATCAAACTGACACGCCATGAGATAAGACTGATACTGTTTATCAAATATAAATCAGACTCCTTCACTTAGAAATCCACAACCATGATCGCTCATGGACGGAAAATTGTTGCTCGGTCGACGCTTACCAACTAGCCCATCTCTGGTTAAATGTCCTCAGCAATGGCGTCACTAGTATGACTCATTTTAAATCACTTGCCTGACATGTACTGTTCGTACCTATGCAAACCATTAGAGACCTGGAAATAAGTGTATATTTCACACGATTCGAAATGACGTATATGGAACGCTATAACTATGTGAGTGAGCCAGTGAGTTTAGTTTTACGCCGCACTCAGCAATATTCCAGCTATATGGTGGCGGTCTATAAAATAATCGAGTCTGAACCAGACGATCCAGTGATCAATAGCATGAGCATCGATCTGCGCAAATGGGTACCGATGACATGTGTCAACCAGGTCAGCGAGTCTGATCACCGATCCCGCACGTCGCCTCTTACGACAAGCATGGGTTACTGAAGATCAATATTCTAAGACGGACCTTCACGGGTCTTATCACTATGTTGTGGAGTTAAAGGAAGACTTTGTTCCAGGCCACGTCAAGATTTCACCTTGTCATGTCACTGCGTTTTTCCAGGTGTACAATTGACGTTCCTTTGCATGTATTTGAGACGTTTGGGCAGGATACATTAACCTTTCTCTTAAGGCCTTGCATGGGCACAATTTTGAGATATTTATAAACACATGTACAATGTCATTGGACTGATTATTAATGGGTTAAAACACGCCTCCACTCAAAAGTGCATCTAGTTTTGCAAACATTTTCGTCGATTATAACTGATACATGATCGGAAATTAAATTATTAACATGATTAGTACTCTTTTGTATACTTTCCACAAACTTGGTTTCCAAATTACAACTTTTAGTATTGTCATACATACTCTTTTGAAATACTCTTCATTCATAATTAATATAGTCCTTTCTATATCGACGTGTTCAGAAATGTTTTTCTTTATAATTACACTTTCGGAAGGTGCGGGTTTGACGTTTGTGTATTGTCTTAAATCGATACATTGGCAGTATACCGTTTTAATAGCCAATGGAAAACATTTTAAAAATGGCATTTAGTTTTCATGAAATACATTTCACGGATGATGAAATTATAATCAATTACACTTTGGAACGTGAATGCTTCAAATTGACACATGTATATTTCTTCAGTCGATAAATTGACAGTATATCGATCTTGATAGCCAATAGAAATATGTACAAAAATGGCTTGTAGTTTTCATGAAATTCATTTCACGGATGGTGAACTTATAAGACAACGCGATATTGGATGTGACGCCAATAAGCAAAAGGGTATGTATATCCTAGAAGTTCTATTGATATATTGATCATATGATGCATTACGGCACTGTGTCGTCAGTAGGGTCGGAAGGCACGGTATTCGTTGCTAGGTGTTGTCTGTAGAATACAGTCTAGCTGTTTGTATTATACTGCATTGTCTCGCACACTCAATTAACTTAGACCACTTTTTAAGTGACCGTATTGAACGTCCGTTTTGAAAGTGGTATATGGTATTGAACGGCACAAACAGCGGTGTGCGCCCGGGAAAGCCACATTTGAAAAATATCAATCGCCCCGAAAGCCACAATGAGAAAGGGAGTCAATACCGTTTTTTGAAATAAGCGTCACCCATTGATCATAATGGACTAAAATTGTGTTAGTGACTTGTCCTTTGTTTGTTTAGTTAACATATGAAGGGCGGCTTCTTTATTCGCGTTGAAAGTTTTAGTCAGATGTTGTGTTTTTAACATATGATAACATGTTCTGTGATATAATTAGGAGATAAACCTACTGCGTGGGAAAATCAGAGGTATATAACGAAATTATAATAGCTCTAAATTTCATTTTAAAACCGAACGCCGCGTAGCGTTCGGTTTTAAATGAAATTTAAGCTATTATAATTCGTATATACTCTCTGATTTTCCTGTAGAACTCAGGTTTATCTCCATTCTACCATGACAATTTTATGAACAATTTCAGGTGGAGCTCTTTCTTTGGTTACGAGTCGATACGTGAAGCGGCCTCGCATTCCAATCTCAAGTGGCATCGCCCGAAACGGGGTGATTGGTGGCAAAC